CTGACAGTGAGTGACTGAGTATCAAATATCACAGGGAGTATCACTTACCTCTACGCCACAAATGCTACTTGTTAACAGGCTCCAATTAGCATAAAACAAAAAAGTATCAACACAGTACGCGATGTCGAGTTACTTAGACTAGTTGGCTACGTTGCATATTGATCAACAGAATTCGGTCACTATCAGTGACTGGACGAGCATGATACATTTAAAAAGTTCAGTGTAGATAAGAATAATAACGTCTTCTTGCATGAAGTGAATATTTTCAGCTGAAGTATCATATTTCAGAGACACACTGACACAGACTTTCCGGGTACTTTTATAATTGTATATGCTCGCTAGAAATACCGTTCCGAGACTAGGTTTCAGTAGTTACGTTTTGTGAAACATTGGATCTTTCTAAGCCGCCACATGTTCTAACAACCTAAGATAAAAATTACTGAAAACAAAAACAAACCAGGAGATATGCTAGAAGGTAACGAGTTAATTTGCCTGCATATTATATTATCATGTCGTTGTCAAATACTAATTTTAGAACATTACCAGGAGGCCTCTGTGCTGTAGATTAATACTTAGTAACGTCGTGCATTGATATCATGTTTTAGTGTAACTGTCATGTGAGCTCTTTTACTTCACTTAGCTCATTGATTTAGGTGCTGATTTTCTTCGTAGGTTTAAAATTCTACTTATTAGTCTTTATTTTTAAATTAAGATTCTGTATTTAATTTTACCCAGCAACTCCACCACACACAAGCAGCACTTCGAGGATACTTATAATTCGATATTTTTAACCTTCAGCAACTGCTAAAAAGCTGTACATCAGAATAAAACAAACTTCGCCAAAGCCCTAGTGTTAGTAAGTATTTGATATCCTACAAGAACCATTTGTAGAGTATAATAAGAAAAGTCGAGTAAGTCTCTTGTATCATTAATGACATGCAAATAACTTCCTCTACTCTTATTGGCCATGTTTCACTGCCATAAAGTAGGACGGAACGGAGTGCTGCACAGTAATCCCGTCCTTTTGTTGCTAGACGGATATCTCGCCTACGCCATAAATGACGCAAGTTGGCGAAAGCTAGACGTGCCTTCTGTATCCGTGCTGAGATTTCGTCACACACCAGACCATAAGGGCTGATGAGACTCCCAAGATAAGTGAAGCAGTCAACACGCTCAACTTCTTCACTCCCTATCATTAGTTCGGGTGTCGATGCAACTCAATCCTGAAGTAACATTTCGCACTTCGAGGGAGAGAATCGCATCCCGAACATGCCTCCATAATTGCTTATAGTGGTCAGAAGACTGCATGTTGCCAGCGTCCTCAACAAGTAAAACTATGTCGTCGGCGTATTCTAAGTCAACAAGTGAGCCTCTCGGTAAAAGTTCAACTCCTGGAGATTGAGATGATGAAAGTGATACCTCTAAAAGTATGTCAATGACAAAGTTAAACAAGAATGGGGAGAGTGGACAGCCCTGACGAACACCACTTGAGGTAATCAGTTCTAATGACAGTTCGCCATAGGCTCTGACTCGACCAGTAGTGTTCGAGTAGAGAGCCTTTATGAGGTTAATGTACTTCTTTGGTACTCCTTTCAGTGACAAACACTGCCATAGAACCTCACGATCAACGGAGTCAAATGCCGCCTTAAGGTCAAGAAATACTACTATTGTGGGACGTCTGAATGTATGTTCATGTTTTAGGATCTGACGTAGGGTGAATATCGTCTACGCAACCACGTCCAGGTCGGAAACCAGCCAGGTTTTCTCTGGTCTGCTCTTCACGAGCTTTGGTTAGGCGACCTAGTATTATTGAAGCTAATATTTTAGACACTATATTAGTCAAACTGATCCCTCTGTGATTGTCACAGGAGGACTTTTGTCCTATCTTATAGACTGGTACAATCAGTGATTGGGACCAGTCAGATGGAATTACGTCCAGTTCCCAGATTCTACCTAAGACCTCAGTCAATCTCGTTGCTAGTACTGGACCACCATCCTTAAAAATCTCAGGGGTAAACTTGTCAGGGCCTGCGGCTCTCCCCCGCTTTAGATTTCCTATAGCTTTTTCAACCTCGTAGAGAGTTGGAGGACTTACCTCAATTTGCCATTCAGGACGACTGGGGATCGTGGATAACTGAAGTGTGGCTGAAGGCCAGTTGAACTGATCCCTAAAGTGTTCTGCCCATCGATCCAATCTCCTGGATTGAGAATGAATGATATGCCCATATTTATCTGAGTTAGTTTCACTGATACTTGGGTTCCTAATACCGGTTTCTTTAACGAGTCTGAATAGCTGCCTACTGTTACCTATTGCCGCTGCCTTTTCCATCTCTCTTGCTTTCGCTACCCACCACTGTTCACGATCATTGCGTAGGCTTCTTATTAGCTTGCGCTTAAGTTGACTCCGCTCTTCGTTATGTTCGGAGACAGATGGTATGAGTTTTCGAGCATCTATCAGTGCGGTAGATGCTGCCGAGATCCATTGTTTCTCCCTAACCTTATGGTTTACCTTACTAGCGGATATCACTGCTGATTCCACAGCTTTTCGGATGTCATTCCACGCTGCCTCGGGGTGGACACAACTTACATGGCTGCCTAACTGTTTTTCTAGTTGTTCCTGAAATATATTCTTAGCTTGCCTATCATTAAGTAGAACCCTTAGAGGCTTCCCTGCAGTGTCTTTCCTACGACCAGTAAGTCGCAGACAGATACGTGCTCGCACTAGAGCATGATCTGAATCTAAGCATGTGCCCCAGAATGAGCGACAGTCTTCTATCGAGCCCCTCCATTGATGGCTGATAGCGATGTGATCTAATTGGGTCCAACATTGGGACGAATTCTGGGTCGCCAGGTCAAAAGATGTTTTTCCTTATGCTTAAAGTTAGTATTTGCAAGAAATAGGCGGTTATCTGAGCATAACTGCAACAGACAGTCGCCATTATCTGTTCTTTTAGCCACGACACCATAAGATCCACCCAGGTGTCTTTCCCTTTCACTTAGTTTACATAGTTGAGCATCAAAGTCGCCAGCCACTATTACTACATCAGAACGCCTAGCTTCTCGGAGAAGGTCAGAAAGTTTCCTGTAGAACTCATCTTTTATATCGTCTGAGCTGCAGTCAATGGGAGAGTAGGCAGAGACGATGAAGAGGCAACGACGAGTTTCCCTATCTTTCCGGGTCCTTACTGATCCGTTTAGTCGGACAGAGCATAGACGACTGTTTACTGGGATCCAGTCTAAAAGAGCTAGTTCTGCCCTACGACCTAATGCTATACCTACTCCAGCGAAGCCACGGGAAGCAGCATCAGGGCTTCCAGATACACGAAGCGTGTATCGAGATGAATCTTTATTTTGATCAGGTGCGGTCAAATGAATGACACTACTCGGATCTTGTATGCGCGTTTCGGAGACGCAGCACACATCGATGGTGTAAGATTCTAGAGTCCTAGCTAAGGAAGCCTGTTGTCCTATTTGGCACAATGTTCGGACATTAAAAGTTCCTATATGTAGTTTAGAGCGTGGTTTCAGGAGACCAGGAATAACGTTCTGTGTACTCGAATCGTTTGCCCTAGCGGTGCGACGCGATAAAAGGACGTGGGAAGGGTTAGTCGAGGAGATAACAGAGTTATTAGGTGTAGGAAGGATTTGAAAGCGACCAACTTGGTCTCGTGTGCAGTTAAGGGTATGAGGGCTAATATCACTTCCCGGCTGCCCACACCGTGGAAGGGTATTTCTTGAGGGACCTGAAAAAGAAGTTGGATTAGTGTTGGTCATAACGACCTGGGAGCGTGACCGCAGTGCCCAAGGGACAACTGCTTGAGGCCGGTCACGCACGGCCTTTTTGTGGGGGATTTTTGACGTGTTAGCTCCGTTCTTCAAAGGACCTTATCGCCGGAAACGGAAATCCGTGGGATAAGGCGAGGAGTGCATTTTTAGGGTCGACTTTTTCTAACCCCACCCCTCCTTGTGGGAAGGCAGCATCGCTGTCATGCTGGTTGTCTGAAGGAAACACCTTACTGCCGTCACACCTCTGTACAGTCAGCAGTACGACTTCGCCTTCGGACCTTGGGATTGCTGCTGTTAGTCTTACCGCTCTTCAACCGACCTGTCTGGCATGGTAGGACCTTGAGGAACGATTGTTCCAGCCAGTATAGCCCGATTTGGTCATCACGATAGGCAAGCCCGACCGCCACGTCAAGGTAGCAGCAACGGTCGGGACTGATTAGACGTATTATAATTATAAATAATAAAAAGCTGTTACAATGACATTTCCGCAATATTTAAACTGAGACTATTTAGTAACTTGAAATCTTCATATTTTGCTATAATGAATGGCTTCGTTTACAAACAGCTCGGAACAGTTGCCACCAAAAGTGCCTTGGTCGTGTTCTAATAGAAATGAATTAACGGCCGATCTAGCCACTTTACATCAATTGGTAAGATGCATGCAGCTCACTTTCTTTGGGCATAGTTTAGCACGAGATTACTACATCGTGTCCCAAGGCTATGAGTATTTGAATTCATGATACGTTTTTTTAGCTATAGCTTTTGACAATAATTGATGCCGCACAGAACCTACATTTATTTTACTTAGATCATGTGAATTTTGGTACAGTAGGGGACGATACAAATGAAGCGATAATATTGCGAAAAAATAAAGGAAAGTGTAACCATTAAATAAATTATTATAAACAAGTGCTTGTAATATATGCATATATTGCAGCATTTGTATTTCGAAGTTCCATAAATTCATGACCTTAGTGGAAAAATAAGCGAACAAATGATTTGAAGACTAAACAAAAACAAAGTATTTTTGCTGAGCACCAAATAGGAAGAAACGTGGTTCACTTTAAACGACCATGCCCGTCGTTCACATGATGATATTGAGACATTTTAAACGTGTTATCACAAAAATCAAAATCTAATTGTTAACATATGCCATTAATATTAAAAGGGGTTTTGTGGATATAATAGTAATTTCAATAGTTGAGATCATGACTGATAGGTCCTGGGTTCGAACCTCGCGAGGCGGGATCGTGAATGCGCACTGCTGAGGAGTCCCACAATAGGACAAAACTGCCTTCCAGTGCTTTCAGGTTTTCCACGGTGGTCTAGCCTCAATTGGTTCATGATCTCAACTGTTGAAATATAACTAACACAATATACTAAGTTGGATCACACTACTACAGGAAAACAATTTAAGCTGTTTAATCCGATTATAATTTTATTTTTTATTCATTGCATGCATACGAATCCGAGTACAGTATAGGACAAAAACCGCACCACAAAAAAATAGGGGAGGAAATAGCAGTACAATAATTAAATAAATGGATAAAAAATAGTATATAGTAAGATATAATTCAATTTTTAATACATCCAAAAAAGAAACCATCCAATCGAGTTCACTTAACTTATGAAGTGACACGAAACTACATTGTAATCGTCAGTGGATTCTATTTTGAGCTATATTTGATAACATCTTAAGCCATCAAGTTGTACCATCTCCAGGACCCCAAATGGAGATTCGTTATGGTTCGACATGCCAGTTCTATTCAGTAGTCTACAATACCGTGGTACCATGTCATTAACTGACCACAAATATAATGTTTTCTAATTGACCAAACCTACCAATATGTAGAATTAATAGTCAGTTTGATAAATAAAGAAAGTTAATATCGTGCATTGGCAAAGATATCTAAAAATTTAGCGGGAACTAATTTAATGCTTAAACTTTGTATGAACTGAACGTCTAAGGATTTCTTTCGGCTCGTGTGTAGTTAGACGTTCGGAAAACAAATGTTTCATTCGAAGTTGTAACAATAAAAGGTTTTTTCATAACCGGGAATAATGACCAACTTAAACTCCAAACTACCATATGGACTGGGAGTGAAGGTCATTTGAGCTACATGGAAGATGACTGGCAAACAAGCGTTTAAAACTTTCGGACAGAAATTCTTTTATGGGGATTCTTAGAGGAAGTTAGTTTTCAAAACTTCAGATACACTTTACTGACAAGTACCGATAATTACGGCTTTTTACTTCTGAGAAGTCGCTACCTATTCATTTTCTAAGAGGCTAGTACAGTCAAAAGCTAGAACGTGGTTTATAGAAATTTAGCTTCATTAATTAGAAAATAATAAAACATGTAGATAAGAGCTGTACAGGTTATAATACACCGGTTCCCAGTTCCACATTTGCATCAGCCACGAGCACTCTCCATTTCATGAGGTTGTAGTGAAACCTTACTGAGAAATGCTAAGTAACCTTTGTTGCATCGGTTCGCATAATGTCCTTTCTCTCCACATTTGAAACACGTCACTTCGTCAAGTGGTTTTTGTGGGCCTTGTCGAGGTCCAGTAGGAGCTGCCTGTGAGGTCCCCATAAGGCCGCCGAACTTGAGACGTTCTGAAACAAAACGAGACCCGGGATTAACACCTTGTTGAGGTAACGCCGCGCCGCCAGTGCTAATATTCTGCATTCGCTGCTGCTCCTGTAGTCGAAGACGTTCTTCAGGTGATAGTTTGAGGCAAAATTGTATTTTGTGTCCACGTTCATCTAAAATGCAGAATACAGTACATTTTAAAGTCGAAAAACAGAAACTAATATACAGTATACGATAAAGAGGAAACTTACTGCAGTAGTGACATATCCAGCGGCTTTTCTGTGTATCTTGATCACTTCCTGGAAGGGGCCACCATATAGGGCTACAAAGTTTAGAAATAGAGGTTTACTCACTGCGCATATTTACATTCACGTCCTTTGGGACAAAAACCATTTATGTAGTTTTTGCACGCTACTCGTCTAACATGTCGATTCCGGCACAAAGGACCTAGACATATTTCTAGAAGTAAGGATCTTATTACCGTTTCTGCAAAACCCTCTATCATACCAGGGGCAATCCTGTACTTTAGAAGCGGGGTCAATGTGAAGAAATGGACATTCTTTGTTCATACACTCTCCTATATACCACTAATAAGAAATAATCTGAAGCTCAACTTACCAAATTTCGAAAAAAAGTAACATTCTGGCATTTTAGTCATATCATATTCGTGTAGGAACTCACAGTCATCTCCTTTTTTGCACAATCCGCGAAGCCAATGTTTGCATACAACTGTTCTGTCAGCTTTGATATGTCTCAAAGGACATAAATTATTAAGGGGACATTGATTAGTAATAAAAAAACGACAAACGCCAGCACCGGACTCTAAAGAAACCGTATTAAATAAAATCTAAATAACTGTTCATATTTGAAAAAGGCAGACATCCTAATCCAATTTGATTTTCTAGTTGGCTCTCAATAATAAAGTCAATGTCTGATACATCTGCTATTAAATTGTCCATCTCAAGATTATCTACAAAAGACCAAATTCAAATGAGATTTTACTACTTGCATATTTATGATACAGAAAGAAAATGAAGTCTACTGGTGGCTAGTTCTATAGATATCTTATGTAAATTAGAGGTTTTAAGGAATATGAGTACATACGTACGAGCGCACTAATATCATTTTTCGCGAAATGAAGAACTTCTTTGTTAATAAATATGAAGATCGTAGATCGTTTCTAAGCGACATTTTATCTTCATAGCTTTTTGTGCAATTCCTAATTCATAAATACTCTTGCAACAGCGGAACAAAGTTATATCAAATGAATGATGATGACAAAGTTGTAATATATAATTTGTTCAAGATACAAGTAGTAAACTATTTCCTAATGCAAAGATAATTTAGTTGATGTATTTGAGGACAAGTATAAACTGATATCACTAGGGCACATTCTTCAGTTTACTAATATTTTGTCTCACACTTCTCCTTTACCCAGCTTATTACACTGTTATGTCAAGTATGGAATAGTTCCAATTTACCCTCGAAAATTCTAAATTAGATGAAAGGGTTTAACATAATACCGGATATATATTTACAATTGATTAGCAAACGGAAAGTAATCATACATCGCTACGTTAATACTCTGACAAGAATTTATGAATTTAAATAAAGCCAGAACAAATATTGATGCAGAATAATATGAATTCATTATATTTCGTGATTTCTCATCAGCTGCTTACAACCAAATATGCATTAAATTCATAAAGGGGACTAACTGCAAGAATTTATGAGCTAACGATTCACACTACCTATACAACAACTGAGTTCACATCTAGGCAGTTCTGTAAACGAGACTGACCCAGATGCTGCTTGGAAAGGCATACGAACAGCTGTGGAGACAGCAGTAACATCTATTAGTCATTTAAACCATAGGGCTCCAAAAAACCAGTGGATTTCTTCTAGGTCTATTTCACTGATGGATTCGCGTAAACTCATCCCATCAGGCTCTGAACATGACGAAGAGCGTAAACAAATTAGATCTAGGTTAACTAAAAGTCTAAGGAACGATCGTGAGCAGTGGTGGGCAACGAAAGCAAAAGAGATGGAAAAGGCAGCGGCTGTAGGCAACACCAGGCAACTATTCAGACTAATAAAAGAAACTGGAATTAAGAAGTCAAGTGTAAGTGAGACGATCTCGGAAAAAGATGGAACCCTTATCTGCTCTCTACCCAAACGTTTAGAACGATGGGCGGAACACTTTAAGGAGCAGTTTAGCTGGCCTTCAGCTACTGCACAACTACCCACTATTCCTAGAAAACCTGAATGGAACATTGAAGTAGGCCCCCCGACCCTACTTGAAGTTCAAAAGGCTATAGGTAATCTGAAACGAGGAAGAGCAGCTGGTCCTGATGGATTGGCTCCAGAGGTCTTTAAATATGGTGGTCCAATTTTAGCGATTAGGTTGACTAATATTCTGGCTAAAATCTGGGAGACGGATGTAATCCCATCCGACTGGTCACAATCACTGATTGTCCCAATATATAAAAAGGGGTCAAAATCATCCTGCGATAACCATAGAGGGATTAGTCTGACTAACATAGTATCTAAAATACTAGCCTCAATAATTATCAGGCGCCTAACTAAGACTCGTGAACTGCAAACACGAGAAAATCAGGCTGGCTTCAGACCTGGTCGTGGCTGTATCGACCACATATTCACCATTCGTCAAGTTTTAGAGCACAGACATGCTTATCGGCGTCCGACAATGATAGTTTTTCTTGACTTGAAAGCAGCATTTGACTCTGTAGACCGAGAGGTTCTGTGGCAGTGTCTGTCATTGAAAGGTGTACCTGAGAAGTACATAAACCTTGTGAAGGCTCTTTACTCGAACACTATCAGTCGAGTGAGAGCTTATGGCGAACTGTCATATGATTTTACAACCTCAAGTGGTGTCCGTCAAGGCTGTCCACTATCCCCCTTTTTGTTTAACTTCATTATAGACCTGTTGCTGCAAATGACACTCTCGTCGACTGAGTTTACAGGAATTGATCTCCTACCAGGGGGACCACTAAGCGACTTAGAATACGCAGATGACATAGTCCTGTTTGGTGAAGACGCTGACAAAATGCAGAGTCTTCTGTTGGAACTGAGTAATAATGCCAGGATGTTTGGGATGCGCTTCTCCCCATCCAAATGTAAATTGTTACTCCAGGACTGGCCTGCGTCAACACTCGAACTAAGGATAGGGAGTGAAGTAGTCGAACGCGTTGACAACTTCACTTATCTTGGAAGTCTGATCAGCCCTAATGGGTTGGTGTCTGACGAAATCTCAGCACGGATTCAAAAAGCTCGTTTGGCTTTTGCCAACTTACGTCACCTATGGCGAAGACGAGATATCCGTCTATCAATTAAGGGACGAGTATACTGCGCATCAGTTCGCTCTGTTCTACTTTACGGCTGCGAAACATGGCCATTAAGAGTAGAAGATACTCGTAGGTTACTAGTATTTGACCACAGATGCCTTAGAAATATTGCTCGCATCTGCTGGGATCACCGAGTAAGTAATAGTGAGGTTAGACGCAGGGTATTAGGTAACGATGGTAAATCAGTTGATGAGGTGATAAATCTTCATCGACTGAGATGGTTGGGCCATGTGTTACGTATGCCTGAACACCGATTACCACGACGCGCTATGATGACTAGTATTGGGAACGGTTGGAAGAGAGTTAGGGGCGGCCAAACCAAAACATGGCATCAGTGTTTGAAGTCACTAACTTCTAGCCTGAGCCATGTTGGCAGATGCAGACTACCTGGTTGGGGTCCGCGTGACTATCGTAATAAATGGTTGGAGACTCTAGGTGACATGGCTCAGAATCGATCACAATGGCGTAGGTGTATACACTCTTTATCTTCCCTTAAACCTTGAGATTAAAATTGCTTCATATCTCTCTTCCTTCCTGTACTATATCTTTCTATACAATCTTTCTTTATATACTACCACCACTAAATTAATTGCTTCTATGAATCCGGTGTTCATCTTGTTGTGCTAAAGAGGTATGGCAACTTGGACCGATGCATATATGTGCCTGGTCCTACGTTGTAGCTGACTGACTGACTGACCTATACAATCTGTAAAGTGAGTCACAGTTGTCTTCAGTAAAAAACTCAATACACTAAGAAAATGTTTGATAACGGTCATGATGATAAAACACCGTATGATTGTATATTGGGTATATTCTACATGTAAAACTGGTCTGACAGGTTAGCTATTGGCTTCGATTCTGAGCCATTTCTGACGTCTCAAGTCACTGAGTTGCACCATATCTCGGGCCCTAGTCTTAATGGACTAACATATGCTAGTCCTACGTAGTTTTTTACATACCCTAGTATCATAGAGATCGAGTTTCAAAACTATAGAGTAAAACTACTTCCACCGACGAGTTGTAGACCCAAACTCTTACAACTAAACTAACATCGCGATAGCACTAAATAAAGTCTGAATTGGAGCAAGCTTCTCTGAGTTCCGCATTACGCAGACTGATCCCACTACTTACATCATTACCAGCAATATCGTCACTATACTCAGGATAGAAGAGTCTTTCAAGTAGCAGACCCACACCACGAGTACTTACTTCCATCAGAGCAGCCTCCAGAATGTGGTTGATGATAAAATTGAGGAGGAATAGTTGGACTGGACGATTCTGCTTAATTCCGTTTCTGAGACAGAATAATCTCTCGAACCTTTTCATACAAGCAGCAGCCACTGCAACAGTAGGCCTCAACATACACAAGAGAAAAAGCAAAATCCTGAAATACAACACAGGGAACACCAACCCAATAACAATTGATGAAGAAACTCTGGAAGAGATGTAAACTTTCACGTATCCGAGCAGCAGCATCGATGAACAAGGAGGATTTGATACTGATGTAAAATTAAGGACTGGCAAAGAAAGGGCAACATTCCCACAGTTGAAGAATATATGGGACTCAAAACAACTGTCATCCAACACCAAAGCCAGAATCCTAATACGAATGTCAAGACAGTTCTACTGCACGGAACTGAAATTTGGAGAACTACTACAACCATCATCAAAAAAGTACAAGTAATTACAAACAATGGTCTACGCAAGATACTAAATGTTCGTTAGGTGTGCACCATTAGCTATGGTACTGTCCGGGTGCACAAACAGCCACACTCGGAGCATTCGACCTAAAGGTCTGATACACAGGGCAGTGGAACGACGTCGAGAGACGCAGTCCCATAGCAACTGGTGACCAACGACTGTTACATGTGCCTTTTGTTCCTTCAGGATACTGGAGCCCATGTGCACCATTGGTTTGTAATCAGGGTTTTCCAACTCCCTTACGTGAACCCTCCGTGTCCACTGTCCCGGTTAAGGCGCCGGACATTAGCTTTTCGTCCTCTCAATTTCGTAATCAGCACACCAGCCGCGGGAACGCAGTGTGTAAGACTTCCCCGGTAATTGCTGTATACGCGCGGCCATGTGAGAGCATTTCGTGAGGGAGAGGTGGCTCTCCACTCTGGGCCGTACCAGGACATTTGGGGGCAAGAACACCATACAATGTTTTTGTATGGTTTGAACTTGGTTAGAAAGGGCTTCCGTGTTGCTCGCCATAAAAATGATAAATTTAAGAACATACAACATTCACAACCACAGGGATACTAAATTACCAACTTTTGCAAAGAGGCGTCAACAGGTGCAAATCTGGATTTTAAAAAGTTGTAATAGCTTTTTTAATAATATTAGAATGTTAGATCGATTAAAAGAGGTCGAACACCAGAGTTAATATTTCTCTTTATTTCCCATCAGCTAAAATTAAAACTAGGAGCGTGGCAGAGATAACTAACGTAAGTTCAAAGAGAATATTCAAACGCTATTGTAAGACAATTCTATGTTTGACACAAAACTCAGGACGTTAGCCACATTGTAAACCTCAAAGCCATGAGCCCTTTCGTATATAGATTTGCTACACGTTTGTGACCGATCCTACTTGACATCTAACGTAAGAATAAAGGAGCTCCTTTATTTCCACCCTGGGGTGGAAAGTGAACGTTCTTCAGAATTAAGACAAAGCTGACAACCTAAGTCGAATATCCGATCATTTTTTACCATATGATTTTCAGAGTTTATCGATTCTATGTGTAAATTACACGAGTAAACTGTTATCTGGTCAGTCGCACTGAAACTGACCTTCGGTCGTAGACCAATTCTTTCGACCTACGCGCTAAACAATTTCGTTATTTTTCTTGTTAACTATAATGTACTTCTTAAATAAACAGAAAAATAGTTTTTGAAGTCTGAATGCCTCGATATGAAAAAGTGAGCAGCTTAATATTGACAAAAACATGAGCATTCAGTTGTAATCGAATGTGTTACCTTATCGTTTTTTAGAGGTATGCATTGCAGGTCAACCCTCGTGATACTCGTATATTTTTTGTTATTGTTAGTTTTCTCGCAAGAGCCTCATTTATAGCAGTCAAAACGCATGTCAAAACCATTTCTAAGGTTATTCGTTAAATGAAGTTGTAGAGTGGCAATGCATCGTCTTGTACATCGTCAGGTCCAGCTGCTTTCCCACTCCTGATTTGTCTGATAACCATCCTGATTTCTTCGTACGTTAGTGGAGTGACATCTATAGGAAGGTCTGTAGGTGCTGCCTCGATTTTTGGTGGATTCAGTTGTGCTAGTCTATTCAATAGTTCCTCGAAGTTTTCTTCCCATATGCTCTTCTCTTCTTGAATTTCAGTTATTGTCTTTGATCGGTCTCTCTGGTTCACTATATTTCCCTGCTAGTTTCTTCGTGGTGTCATATAGTTGTTCCATATTTCCTTCTATTGCAGTCTTTTCCGCTGTCTTTACTAGGTTTTCCACGTATTTCTGCTTGTCAGCTCTTATGCCCTTATTCAATTGCTTGCTTGATTCTGTATATTCAGCTTGAGACTTGAGTTTGTCTGTTATTGTTCGGCCGTTGTTAATGACTGTCTTCTTGTTCTTCCTTTCTTAAATCTTGTGCAGTATTTCGATGAAGAGCCATTTCTTATGATGATGCATCTTGAGGCCCAGAACCTCCTAACACGAAGCTAGTTCTGACGATGCCACTAGTGTTTGTAGTTTGACAACATTAAACCAGAGACATCTATAATTGAATCGTGTCCACCCAGTGAAATCAAAAGTCATAATTTAGGAGGTTCAAAGACATATTTGTTAGATTGCCAATATATCGAGAAGGGACTGATCTAAACTGGCTAGTGGTCGTAGGAGATGTTGAACACGTCATTCCAACTCGTGATCTGGTGGGGATACGTGACCGAGCGCCTTCACTTGGGTAAGTCCATCAGAACTAACGTCGTCTGTATAAAATTTTCAAGACTTACAGAATTTAGGGACTTATTTACCGCTACAGTGCCTATCTGATCCCTTTTCAACTGTCCCCCATAGTGTTTCCTTATTTTTTCAGTAATGTTATAAGTTTTGGAACCTGTTGTTGAGAGTTGTCTTGAATTGGTGCCGTGCCGCGTGCGAGAAGAAACGACATTAGAAGTTATTCAAACAGAGAAATGCCTTCAGTTTTTGAGTGTAGATAGTACGGTGTACTCCATCACATAATCTTTTTGAAGCTTTGGACAGCATTCCGCAATCCAAATGGAATTCGTAGGAACTCAAACAGACCAAACAGAGTTATGGTAACGGTTTTCACGATTTCTGATCTGATGATATGCTCGTACCAGATAAATCTTAGAAAAAATAGTCGTGCCCCTGAGTGGTTCCGTGATGTCATGTGGGTGTGGGATGGGGTGGCTATAAAAACGTGTAGCTACGTTTAATGCTTGGCAGTCGCCGCATGGTCTCCAACTAACGCCGTCCTTTTTGCGAAACATTTGGAGGTCCGGGAACTGTAAGAGGGATGAATAATACCAATAGCTAGTAAATTGTCAAGCGAAAGATAATTTGTCCGGTGCCAGTCCGCAAGTTTTTGCCGTGACTGGGGGTCCGCGAGTAACTATGTGGTGTGCCACACAATTAGTCATCGATGAGATCTCCTAGAGATGTTTAGTTAATTGGGGGAATTCTGAAACAAAATGTGGGCCTGAAATAAGCAACCAACCTGATGTGAGGGACTGGTGAGTGCTGCTGCATCTATCCGCCGCAACGGAAGTTTCCCGTTTGTATGAACAGGGAGCTTGACAACGATTGGCATCGGGCCCGAAGATTCGGTGGAACGAGCACAAACCAGTACTCGCTTCCGAGGCCAAGTTCGAATGTGCCCGCTTATGGAGAGTAGTTACAGCTTTACGTGACCGTAGTTTGTTTTGCGGGGTCCTGAGATAATGGAACAGTCTCGAAAATTGAGACTTATGAATACAGACACACCTATCACCTTCAGCCGAAAGGTGACTAGCGTAGAGATCCACGTTCGAGTGTGGCAACTATATAATTGTCTTGAATGCCGGTCGTCGCTAATATTTTGCCTGCTATGAGAGCAACCTGGTTAAGTGGTGTATCCTCCAGCGATGCTATGGTTGTAGGTTGTAATTGTGCTGGTAATGATTCCAGACACAATTCCATAACTGTCGTGGGTCCTTCTGAAGACCACAGACGCGTGTGTTGGCTGGGTTTAGCATTATCTAGGGGGTGACGTGCTAATAATATCCCCAATCGTTCCTATCTCGATGGGAGGAAGTGTCTGAGAATCGCCTCCTTGAGACGATCGTAGACGACAGGCAAATTAGGATTGAGGACAACCACACGGACCATGGCTATATGATCTTCAGGTAAGGTTTCCAGAGCGTAGACGTACTTTTGCCGCTGGCACGTAATGCGGCTTGTAGTTTCACCACATAAAAGGTCAGCTAAATTCATACATGAAATTCAATAAGATATGATATATACATATATATATATACTTTCAGTGCGCGCATGTCACTTGTAAATTTCTTGTACAAGTCATCAGGTTCTGCTTACTAAGGATAGTTGCCCGAGTAAATAAGTTCACTCGACAATGTACAAGTGTCTAAACTGGTATATATGACAAGTTTCTGGGTCTAAAAACGGACCACTCTTTGTGCTGACCTACTTACATACTTCTCCAGGTACGCTGACAGTCTTAAATTGGTATCCATTCATGTTGACATCTCGTAAATCTTTATAAATTTAATCGATGGTGTTTGAGCGAATTGTCTTGTTCTGTGAAACACAAAATACAGTGACTCACTACCGTGATGTTTCGACATACAATACAATCAATGACATGTCCAGTGGAATGCTCCAGAACGTTTAGAAATTCCACCTTTTAGTTAACAAGGTCAGGTCAGCTACAACGTAGGACCAGGCACATATATGCGTCGGTCCAAGTTGCATACCTCGTTAGCACAACAAGAGGAACACCGGATTCATAGTAGTTAATCTAGTGTTGGTAGTAGTATATAAATTATAGGTTGTATATAAGGATATAGTACAGGAAGGAAGAGAGATATGAAGCAATTTTAGTCTCAAGGTTTAAGGGAAGATAAAGAGTGTATACACCTACGCCATTGTGATCGATTCTGAGCCATGTCACCTAGAGTCTCCAACCACTTATTACGATAGTCACGCGGACCCCAACCAGGTAGTCTGCATCTGCCAACATGGCTCAGGCTAGAAGTTAGTGACTTCAAACACTGATGCCATGTTTTGGTTTGGCCGCCCCTAACTCTCTTCCAACCGTTCCCAATACTAGTCATCATAGCGCGTCGTGGTAATCGGTGTTCAGGCATACGTAACACATGGCCCAACCATCTCAGTCGATGAAGATTCATCACCTCATCAACTGATTTACCATCGTTCCCTAATACCCTGCGTCTAACCTCACTATTACTTACCCGGTTATCCCAGCAGATGCGATCAATATTTCTAAGGCATCTGTGGTCAAATACTAGTAACCTACGAGTATCTTCTACTCTTAATGGCCATGTTTCACAGCCGTAAAGTAGGACAGAGCGAACTGATGCGCAGTATACTCGTCCCTTAATTGATAGACGGATATCTCATCTACGCCATAGGTGACGTAAGTTGGCAAAAGCCAAACGAGCTTTTTGAATCCGTGCTGAGATTTCGTCAGACACCAACCCATTAGAGCTGATCAGACTTCCAAGATAAGTGAAGTTGTCGACGCGTTCGACTACTTCACTTCCTATCCTTAGTTCGAGTGTTGACGCAGCCCAGTCCTGGAGTAACAATTTACATTTGGATGGGGAGAAACGCATCCCAAACATCCTGGCATTATTACTGAGTTCCAACAGAAGACTCTGCATTTTGCCAGCGTCTTCACCAAACAGGACTATGTCATCTGCGTATTCTAAGTCGCTTAGTGGTCCCCCTGGTAGGAGATCAATTCCTGAAAATTCAGTCGACGAGAGTGTTATTTCCAGTAACAGGTCTATAATGAAGTTAAACAAAAATGGGGATAGTGGACAGCCTTGACAGACACCACTTGAGGTTGTAAAATCATATGACAGTTCGCCATAAGCTCTCAATCGACTAATAGTGTTCGAGTAAAGAGCCTTCAAAAGGTTTATGTACTTCTCAGGTACACCTTTCAATGACAGACACTGCCACAGAACCTCTCGGTCTACAGAGTCAAATGCTGCTTTCAAGTCAAGAAAAACTATCATTGTCGGACGCCGATAAACATGTCTGTGCTCTAAGACTTGACGAATGGTGAATATGTGGTCGACACAGCCACGACCAGGTCTGAAGCCAGCCTGATTTTCTCGTGTTTGCAGTTCACGAGTCTTAGTTAGGCGCCCGATAATTATTGAGGCTAGTATTTTAGATGCTATGTTAGTCAGACTAATCCCTCTATGGTTATCACAGGATGATTTTGACCCCTTTTTATACATTGGGACAATCAGTGATTGTGACCAGTCGGATGGGATTACATCCGTCTCCCAGATTTTAGCCAGAATATTAGTCAACCTAATCGCTAAAATTGGACCACCGTATTAAAAAACTCTGGAGCCAATCCATCAGGACCAGCTGCTCTTCCTCGTTTCAGATTACCTATAGCCTTTTGAACTTCAAGTAGGGTCGGGGGGCCTACTTCAATGTTCCATTCAGGTTTTCTGGGAATAGTGGGTAGTTGTGCAGTAGATGAAGGCCAGCTAAACTGTTCCTTAAAGTGTTCCGCCCATCGTTCTAAACGTTTAGGTTGAGAGCAGATAAGGGTTCCGTCTTTTTCCGAGATCGTCTCACTTACACT